ATATTTGATGCGTGCTTTAATATTTCCACTGGAAATGACAATGCAGGTGAACTTTGACTTGCTCTAAATTCAGCTTTCAACTCTTGATAACGACGATCTTCAACTAACCTTTGAAAATGTTGAAAAAATCGTAGCAAATCATATTTGTAACTAACATACTTCTTTAAAGCACTATTCATGCTTTCACTGCGTTGGGTAGTAGTAATATCAGCACAAAAAGTTTGTCGCCCATAAACTAATGCCCATTGCTCCTTTATATTAAACAATCTCCTCAACCAATCATTATCCTTGAGATTATATTTTTCAAGCATGTTATTCCAAGCGTTTATAAAATCATCTTCATCTTCATAATCATATATGCATCTACCAAAGTCTTTGGTAAGATTTTTGAACTTCTCAAAAGCATTGCTAAGATGCTTGGCTGCGTTTTGGTATATGTGCCAAATGCACAAACGGTGACATGTTTCTGGCCACTCTGAAAGCAATGCTTTAGCCATTGCTGCATCTTGGTCTGTCAGAATACTTATTGGTTTTTTTCCAGACATAGCCTTGACAAAAGTATCAAATAACCAAATAAATGTCTCAGCTGTTTCAGCATACAATAATGCAGCACCGAATACAACAGTTTGCCTATGATTGTTGACACCAACAAACATTGCAAAAGGTCTTCCGTCTTTATTTTTTCTATAGGTCGTATCAAAGCATACCACATCACCAAAATAATCATAATCCACCATCATCCTTGCATCAGCCCAAAAGATATTAGTAATCATATCATCTTCATCCACTTGTATAGCATAAAAGAAATTGGGATCACTCAACTGCATTTGTTGTAAATATTCTAACAGGCCCCCTGTATCTCCTACCCTCATTTCTCTTGTACGCTTTGAACGTAAATAATTTTTATAATCTACAAGAATGAATCCAAGATTTTGACGTCCACCGGCTTGTCTACTCAGAAGTTCTAGAGTTGTTTTTGGAGCAATCCCTGAACTATCAGCCATATCAGCTTCAACTATTTGTGCAAGAGACATGTTCCTATGTGACCTAAAAAAATGGGTCTTACAAGGACTAGAAGTAACATGCGTATGCTCAGGCACAAACTCAGTAACACAATACTTATCATTTAGCCGACAACTAATTTTCATCCTTGCTAGACATCCAAATCTTGTCTCAGCACGATGAGATTTCACACTGCCATCACACTTATTCTTTTCACGCTTACCTTCAGCAGAGCAAACAAAAAGTCTGTCTCTCAACTTCCCACATTTCTCTTTATGAAATTTACTTCATCTAATACTAAAACCAACACCATATGCATATGCATTGTAAAATTTAAAGGCTTCTTCTTCTGTTTCAAACTCCATGCCTGTTATAGGAATTAGTTTTTTCTGCATGTTAGAATGAATCAACTCTATGTTTTCGTTACCTTGTGTAGTTTCTGATAACTTTTCTTCATTACTTTCACTGTCTGCAAAAGCATTGAAGTCCACACCTGTTTCAAAAATTAGCTTCGGACTTGCTTGAGTTCCATCATCGTCTCTGTAATTATTTTCCCCGTTCATGTCCTTGAGAAAATTGACAACACGTAATTTATAAGATTTAAATTTCTATATATAAAACAATAATCATAAAATAACAATTAATTTAATCGAGACAGGGATTGATTACTATATATGACTGGGTTTGATTCCTATGAAATCAAAAGGTTGATTCCTATGAGGGAGGAGAGTGGGTATGGCTAGATCAAAATAGCTACTGCAACCTATATATATATTGAAATTTGGACATGTAAGTAATCATGGAACAAACGATACATATACAGTTGGTTTTAGTGGGACAAATATGGCCAGTCAGTCAGATTCCTAGGCACGTTAAGTACGACACCACACCACACCCCCATGTTATATACGAAAGCATCAGCATAATTCCCACCTACAGAGCATGTGTACTTCTACAAGGAAGCCATATTCTCAAAGACTCCCCAATAAGATTAGTCACCATAGTTTTGAGTCCTTCAGTGATTACTATGAATATGAAATCAAACATATCATGAAGATAAAACCTAACAAAGAAAATTGAACAAATATTATATAAGTTTCCAATACACAGCGCTTTGCTCACCTCCATCCACGCTTCAACAAAAGGTATAATAGATTGGTTTAATGGTGCTGCAATTTCCAAACAGAGATTAGGAGGGAGGAGAATTGGGTTTTGCAAGCGTTTGAGAGTTGATGGTGGAGAAGATGCAGAGATTATGAGGGAGGAGAGTGGGTATGGCTAGGTTTTGCAAGGAAGACAACGCTCGCTGGCTGCAATTGGAGAAGAGGAGAAGACGACGCTCGCTGGGTTTAGCAAGGAAGACGACGCTCGCTGGCTGCTGGGTTGGCTGCAATTGGAGAAGAGAAGACAGACGCTCGCTGGGTTTAGCAAGGAAGTCGTTGGCTGCTGGGTTATTTGGGCAGCTTTTAATTTTTTTTAATTGTTAAAATTGTCAAATAAAAAAGTTAACAGAGTTAACTCCCTGTTATGTTAGTTGACACGTGTCAGCAAATTAGAAAGGGGAAATGGAGGGGACACCAATTTGGGGACAGCGGATCCGCTCCCAAAAGAAAGAGAGAAGGGAAGGAAATAAAAAAGTATATATTTTATAATTTTTGATTGATTTGACGATTATATCCCTGAATTTAACAGATTTTTTGACAGAATGACTATTTAAGAGCACCTATATTAACGTTAGGGACCATGAGTGATACAAAAAAAGTTTAAGGATGCAATGTGATAGTTTCGCAAACGTCAGGGACGTTTTGTGATAATAAGCCATGTATCTATAGTAATGGCGTGGGGACTTTTTTGATTTCTGGGACAGGTTTTTAAGAGTCTTTGATTGAAAGCACCGGTGGTGCAAAAGAATGGGATTTCTGGCTTCTCTTCCATTCTTAAAATTTCATTTTTGTTTTAGATCTGTTTATCTAAAAGAAAGGGGTTGTTGGGTGCAAAAGGACGGCGGTGATTCCCTCGTTTATTTTTGTTTCAGATATGTTCATTTTGATTATATTGGTCATTGGACGTGTTCAGCTCTTTCTTGGTGATTCCCTCGTTTCTTCTTCCGTGTATTTTGGCCTTGTTTTTGTGGAAATTGTTTTGGCACCACCAGTGTACAGTACAACAATGTTTCATCATTGATTGTTTGTTTGTATTGATTCCTTCTT